TCCATAGTGTTTCAATGGCTGATTTTTCAGAAGTAGATCACTAGGTCTTTCCTCTGAGATATCTCCAGGTAGACTTGAACTTCTAACCTTTTAGTTAGCATCCAGGAGTATTTGTACCACCCAGAGACCATATTCAGATGTATGTGCTCAAAATTTATTTGCTGAGTGAATGAATGAACCAGTGGCTCAGGAGTAAAGAATTTGAGATCACATGTCAGATAACGTTAATTCAACTCCTGGCTCTGGCATTTCCTAGCTGTGATTTGGAGTAAAAAATCCTAGCTTACAATTATGACTAATTACTAACTGATTTTAGGTTGCAACAGTCAAGACGTCAGACGTATTACACTGGGAGAATCTGCTGCGAAAGACCTCTTTCAAGTGCTGAAGAGCAAAGATGTCTCCTTGAAGACTAAGGTGTGCCTGACCCAAGCCATGGTATTTTCAATCACCTCATATGCATGTGAGAGATGGACAATGAATAAGGACAGACTGAAGAAGAGTTGATGCTTTCGAGTTGTGGTGTTGGTGAAGGATACTGAAAGTACCATGGACTGCCAGAAGAATGTCCTGGAACAAGTGCAGCCAGAATGCTCCTTGGAAGCGAGAATGGCCAGACTTTGTCTCACCTATTTTGGTCATGTTGTCAGAGGGGACCATTCCCTGGAGAAGGATATCATGCCTGGTAAAGTGGAGGGTCAATGAAAAAGGGGAAGGCCCTCAACAAGATGGACTGACACAGTGGCTGCAATGATGGGCTCAGGTATAGCAAGGATTGAGAGGCTGGCACGGGACCGGGCAGTGTCTCATTCTGTTGTGCACGGGGTTGCAATGAGTTGGAGCTGACTTGATGGCACCTAACAACAACAACTTCTTCTATAAGGAGGCCTGGTGGCATACTGCCTCAGTGCGGTGTAGTAAAGTACCTGGTAGGGCTTTTCTAGCCATAAGTCTCTGTAAACTCTGTGGTGGAATTTGCTGTGAGCAACTGAAGAGCTCCTGATTGTAAAAGTTATCCACCTGGGGTATTTCTGTTGTGAACAGCACAAAGTAATGTTCTGGGAAGTTTGCACTGTCTCTCAGGTGCTTAGAATTCTGCTGTTTTTATTGGTTAGTTTGGCCACTCTGCCGGGATCAAAAGGAGGCCTCCTAGAGGCAGAAGCTTTCTCTGACTGCTGGCTGAGAAGAAACGCACTCCCAAGAGAAACATGCTCCTGAGAGACATGCGCTGCTGGGAAAGAGATGCAAGAGACATGCATGGCTGAAAGAGTCACTGAGGGACACGCATTGTTGGGAGAGAGACTGAGAGACTGTTGTCTGACAGACGGCAGGCTGAGAGACACTGAGCATTTTTTTCCTGAACTTGAATTGTAGACTGATGCTTCCCTAATAAACCCCATAATCTGTGAGTTGTGTGTGGCCACTGCAGTGAATTATCAAACCCAGCAGAAAGGTGGTGAGTCCTGTGGGAGGAATGGTTGGTGTCAGGGTTGGTGAAAGGGCTGAAGGGAGGCAGCATGTCTGGCCTTGCAGGAATAGGCCTTGGGCTACTGATGGTGATTCTGTCTTCCTCTTGTGTGGTTAAAAGAGGTCAGAAGATGTGGCCTCCTTGCCTCTATGGCACTAAGGCATTAACTCATTCAATCAGCTATGACTCAAGTGCTGGGGACAAAGAGATGGATAAGATGCAGTTCCTTCCCTCAAATCTTAGGTAGGTCACTTAAAATGGGGATAATACCCACTTCATAGCTTTTTTACAGAGAGGTTTACCTGTGTTTTATTGATTATACAAAAGCATTCAACTGCGTGGAATATGATAAATTATGGGTAATGTTGAGAAGAATGGGAATTCTAGAACACTTAATTGGCTCATGCAGAACCTGTGCATAGACCAAGAATCAGTTGTTCAAACAGAACAAGGGGACAATGTGTGGTTACAAATCAGGAAAGGTGTGAGTCAGGGGTGTATCCTTTCACCATACTTATTTAATCAGTGTGCTGAGCAAATAATCTAAGAAACTGGACTATATGGAGAACCCAGCATCAGGATTGGAGGATGACTCATTAACAACCTATGATATGCAGGTGACATGATCTTGTTTGCTGAAAGTGAAGAGGACTTAAAGTGTTTACTGAAGAAGATCAAAACTATAGCCTTCAGTATAGATTACATCTCAACAAAGAAAACAAAAATCCTCACAACTGGACCAATAAACAATATAAACAATAAGTGGGGAAAAGACTGAAGTTGCCAAGGATTTCATTACTTGGATTCATTTACTTGAATATACAATCTATGTCTTTGGAAGCAGCAATCAAGAAATCAGCACTGGGCAAATTTGCTGCAAAAGACCTCTTCAAAGTTCTTAAGAGCAAAGATGTCACTTTGAAGACTAAGGTGTGCCTGGCCAACCATGGTATATTCAATCACCTCATAAATGGAAAAGCTGGACAATTAAAAGGAAGATTGAAGAACTGATGCTTTTGAATTATTATGCTGTTGTTAGGGGCTGTCACATTGGTTCCAACTCATAGTAACCCTACGTATAACAGAATGAAACAGTGCCTGTCCTGCACCATTCTCACAATCCTTGTTACGCTTGAACCCATTGTTGCAGCCAGCGTCAATCCATTTCATTGAGGGTCTTCCCTTTTTTCCCCTGCCCTCTACTTTAAGAAGCATGGTATCTTTTCCCAGGGACTGGTCCCTTCTGACAACATGACAAAGTCTAGACATTCTTGCTTCTAAGAAGCATTCCGGCTGCACTTCTTCCAAGACAGATGTTTGTTCTTCTGGCAGTCATGATATCTTCAGTATTTTTCCCCAACACCACAATTCAAAGGCATTGATTCTTCTTTGGTCTTTCTTATTATCATGTTGGTGAAGCATATTGAATATACAATGGGCTGCCAGAAGAACAAAGAGCCCTGGTGGTAAGTGGTTAAACACTTGGCTGCAAACCAAAAGGTCGGTGGTTCAAACCTATCAACCACTCTGCAATGGAAGAAAGATGTGACAGTCTGCTTTTGTAAAGATTTACAGCTTTGGGAATTCTATGGGAGCAATTCTACTCTGTCCTATAGGGCTGTTATGAGTTGGAATTAACTCTATGACAATGGGTTTGTTTTTGGTTTGGGGCTAGAAGAACAAATAAATCTGTCTTAGAAGTACCACTAGAATGCTTCTTAGAACCAAGGATGGTGGGACTTCATCTCACATATTCTGGGCATGTTATTAGGAGAGACCAGTCCCAGGAGGACATAATGCTTGGTAAAGTAGAAGGTCAGCGAAAAAGAGGAAGACCTTCAACAGTGGTTGCACCAATGAACTCAAACACAGCAACTATTTTGAGGATGGCACAGGACCAGGCAGCAGTTCATTCTGTTACAAAAGATCACTTTGAGTCAGAAATGACTGGATGGTACCTATCTACTACTACTACTACTACTATGTTACAGCTTTACCATTAGGATTAAATGAGTTACTTTGTGAAAACAAAGTGTCTGGCACATAGCAAACAATTAGGAAGTGTTAGCTATGAGTGTGATGATTCTAGTCTAGAAAAGAAGGAGCCCTGGTGGTGCACTGGTTAAGAGTTCAGCTGCTAACCAAAAGGTTGGTGGTCTGAATGCACCAGCTGCTGTAAAGGAGAAAGATGTGGCAGTGTGCTTCCATAAAGATGATCAAAAAAACCAAACCCACTGCAATCGAGTCAATTCTGACTCATAGCAACCCTTTAAGACAGAGCAGAACTGCCCCAAAGGGTTTCCAAGGCTGTAAATCTTTACAGAAGCAGACTACTTTATTTTTCTTTGGTAGAGCTGGTGGGTTTGAACCACTTAAATCTACAGGATTGGAAACCCTAAAGGGCAGTTCTACTCTGTTCCAAGCTATGAGTCAGAATCAACTCCATGGCAACAGGTTTTGTCTGGAAAAGGGGTAAAGGCATGTAAGCAAAGACAAATACAATGTAGGAAAAGCAAAAAAAAAAAAACCAAAGGCACCAACGAGAAAAACATCTCCTAAACTGGGGTCTGCCCACAACTGGGAAGTTCCACAATGATCAAGAAAACCGTACAAGCTGTTACGTCTCTGAACTTTCTACCACCCCTCCCTCCATAGTAATTACAAAGACAATTACTTTGCTGCTTTAACTTTAGCTTAAAACTTGGAAAAAAAATTGAGTAAGTCTTCAGATTCTCAGTGTTTCTTAAAGGAGGCAATTCCCCCCCCCCCCAAAAAAAAAGGTTAAATTCTTAAGTTTGAGAAATGTCAACTGTATGGGGAATCTCCAGGGCGCAAGGGTTTGGTGTAATTGCCTAAATGAAGTAACCAATTAGACGCCAACAGCACAAAGCTGCGTTTCATGGCAGTGCTGTCACAGACTAAATGTCATAACTGGGCATTAATGAGTGGGTCCTGGAGGCTCACTAGGAGTTCTTCAGGAGAGAAAGAGAGCATCACGTTTGGGGAGAGAATAGCATGAGCCAAGGCGCAAAGGCGCGAAAGCGCAAGTGCGTGACTTGGCCGAACCAAACAGTAGGTTTTTGGGGGGCGGCCACAGGGCTGGGCATGTATAGAGGAAAAATGCGGCCTGAAGCTTGATGGATAAAAGAAAAAACCCTCCCTCCATACTCAGGCCATGATCCCTCAGCCCCAGTGTCCCCACAGGATCCCCTCTTCGGGATCCAACACGCCGATTTCACACTGGCTCCCGCCATTCTTCCCTTACCTCGTCTTCTAGTCTTGCCCTCACTTTCCCACCGCCTCTACCCCGCCGGAACTGACGTAATTAGTAATGCGCCGTACAGCGCTAGAAAGGTTCCGCGGGCGCGGGAAAAAGAGTTCCGGCGACACTCAATGCGCCGGCGTATGGGCGCGAGCGGTTACAGCGCCTTCCGGGGCCGAGGCACTGAGCTCTCTCGTAGTGTCTCTAGCCTTCGACGTGCCCTGAGCAAGGTTTGGAGAGTCCGCCGCCACTAGAAGGACCTTTTTTTATAGCTCCGGAAGCTTCTAGGTGCCTAACTACTCTGACTTTTGCCCCTTGACCCTGCTCTCGCGGTGGGGCGAGAGGTCGGGTGGCCATCTTGTGGCGGCGGCGCGGGCGGCTGTTACTGCGGAGACCCATCCCCTCCCCCCAACCATCATCCGGGCGGTCTGTCAGTAAAGAGTCTGGCAGTCTGTCTGGTGAAGCCTTGGCCTTGTGCCGTTGCTTTTTCAGCCGCACTGGGCGGCCCAGGCCGCTCCCTGCCGGCCTTCAGCACCGCCACCATGTCCTCCTTCTCGGAGTCAGCTCTAGAGAAGAAGCTGTCGGAGCTGAGCAACTCTCAGCAGAGCGTGCAGACGCTCTCCTTGTGGCTCATTCACCACCGCAAGCACGCGGGGCCCATCGTCTCCGTGTGGCACCGCGAGCTCCGCAAAGGTAAACACCCTCTCCCCGCCCCTTTGGTCCAATCGCGGGTTGACCTCTTCCCCACCCCCTCCCTAGGCTCCTCTGCATCTTGATCGAGTCTTGCCCTTACAGACACGGGCTTCTGAGTTGGAGACAGTGTTTTCATTTCTCGGAGAAGGAAACTGAGGCCCGGGAAGGTTTAAGGCACTTGTCAGAGGTCCCACTGACCAGGGCCCAGGTACCCGGATTTGTAGTTCATTAAGCTGTCAATCCCTCAGATTCCTCCTCACACTTTGAACTGTTATTTTCAGGGCTTCATTTAGCTCCTGGTGTTGGGTGCTGGCTCCAGGCTGTTATCTGCCAGGCGCTGTGCTGGCCATTTGGAGTAAAAGTCGGTGGGCTCAGGAGTCAAGCTGCCTGGATGAGAGTTCTGGCCCGACCACTTAGTAGCTGAACAATGTTGGGTTCTCTTTTCCTCTGTTTATCTGTAAAACGGAAGTAAATGCAGCTGTCAGTTACAGAGCCTTTACTCTGAGCCAGTCACTATTCTAAGATTTTTATGCACTGCCTTGCCTCAGTCCTCACAACAGCATTTTAGAGAGTTTAAGGGGCCACATCACCTCGCCCTTACCTCTCACGCCCCTCCTTTCATGCCGCTGCCGTTGATTGTAGACCCTGCTCAGGATCTGGTTGACATTCATTGAGCTCAGCCTGGCATTGGGTTGGGCACTTGATAGCATGTTAGTTCCAGAGGCCAACAGCCTGGATCCTAAGTTTGACTTTGTTCCTTGCTACTACCAACAACATAACCTCCATGCCTCCCATGTTCCTTAATTCTGAGTCCTACCATGTAGGAGCTTCTCAGATGAGGAAAAACTGATACAGAACAATTTGTGGTGAGGAGTAAACAGAATAATCCAGATGAGCATTTAGCATCGTGTCAGAACACAGTGAAGGCATTGGATAAATATGGTGGTGAGATGGGACTATTGATTCAGTGTGAGGCGGAGCCCTTGCCTTCAGATTTCTCACAGTTGGTGGGGAAAGATGGATACCTACACAGCTATCTGATACCCCAAAGAGTGCCAGAACAGAAGGATGGGGAGATAATAGGGAACTTAAGAGTTGTGATGAATAGCATTCATGTGCTAGGTCCTTTACAGCGTAGGAGGTGACTTTACATGTGTTTTCTATTGCCTGTGTGGTGGAAGGAGTCACTTCAATTTATAGATGATGAAACTAAAGCTCAGAGTGGTGAAGTGGTATTTCCAGGGTCTTAGAGCTGGTGAGACTGTATCAGGTCTCAGGTTCCAAAATCCAGTTTTTGTTTGTTTTCAGCAGGCCCAGTTGTAGCCATCTAGCAGAGATTCACAAGTGTCATGTACTGAACTGAGATAGGGATGCTCTCAGCCCTCAGCCCTTTGGTAGAGCTTGGGAAGGCCAAAGCCTCCTTCACATACCCCAGTGGGCCATTTAAATACTATTTGTAACATGCTGAGATGTGGAAAAATGTAAATCACCTCTCTACGTGATCCTATTGGATGAATTTCAGTCCATCTACAATGTCCCATTTTTTGTTTTATTTTTTTAAAATTTTATTTTGATTTGGGTGAAGATTTACAGAGTAAATTCACTTTTCATACAGCAGTTCACATAATATACTTTGTCTCATGTCATTGACCAAAATTTATAATGCAACAGCTCCCCTCCCACTTCCTCCCCATAGTTACCTCTTCCCAGTGTCCATCCCTCCATACTCTTCTGCGCCCTGAGCTGTCTGCCTGTGTATAAGCAGCCCTTCCTTCTCCCATGATTGTTCTCTCCAGGGCGTGTGTCTACTTGAGGTAAATGTTTAATTCACATGCCTGTACTTTGGCTAATGTCCCTTTTTTTAAACGAAGACTTCTTGATTCCTCATCTCATTCTGAGTTATGGAAAATAATAATTTAGAGAGTACATTAATTTCTGAAGCTCCTTTATCCCTAATCTCATATTTTAGAGTCTTCTGTTGTAAGTAGGCTGCCATTATTATCTCAATTTTCTAGATGAGAAGACAAAGATACAGAGAGATTTAAGTACCTTGTTCAGTGGCCTGCAGCCGGGATATGAGCCTGGAGTTGTCTGATGCCAAAACTTGAACTCAGTGCACTTAAGTGAAAGTGGTTATCTGACTCCAACCAAATCCACAGTATTTTCATTTATTAGAATTAATCACTACCTCCCACCTTATCCCACCTATTTAGCACTTACTTCCTTCTTACCAGTTACATCTTTTTTAGTACATTGTGTTTTGAGAGAGAAACTGTTTCTTTTTTCTCTGTAACCCCCATGGCATTTAGCATGGTGTGTGCTACTTCTAGGTAGTCAATAAATAGTCTTAGGAGTTAAATTGTGTGGCCTCTGACACCATTTTCATGGTTGAGTAAAGCATCCAAGCGGCATTGTCTATTAGAACTGTCTGTGATGATGGAAACATTCTATACCAGTGTTGTCCAATAAGCTAGCCACTAGCCACGTGTGGCTATTGGGCACTTGAAATGTGTGGCTAAAGAACTGAATTTTTAACTAGATCAATTAAAAATTCATTTCTCCAGTTGCACTGGCCACAACTGAAGTGTGCAGTAGCCACACGATAGGCATGTGGCTACCATATTGAACAGCATAGAGCTAGAGAAAGCTCCTTTCAGGCATCAAGATGCAACTTCCTAATACCCAGGCTTCCTTCAAATTGAAAATGCCCTTACACTAAAGTGGAAAAGGATTTTGTGTTCCTAATGTCAACTTGGGAGCCCTGGTAGCATAGTGCCTAAGGCACTTGACTGCTAACCAGAAGGCTGGTGGTTCAAACCCACCAGCCACTCCTCGGAAGGAAGGTTGGGCAATCCTACTTCCGTAGTGATACTGCCTCGGAAACCCAAGGAGGGGTCGCTATGAGTCGGGGCCGACTCGACGGCACATAACAACAACAAATGTCAACTTGCCTGGCCTTTTAGATTCTAGGCTACTCTGATTCTTCAAGAAGTAGATAGTTCTATTTATGGGTAAGTCATTTTCTCTGTGTAAGTTGTTCACAGACTTTCTGTTGAGTTACCTTCAAAAATATTTACCAGACTTAAAAAATAACTATTTCTCACTTAAATATTCCTTCTATTTCTGACGGTTACTTTCTTTCCAATTTTCTAGGAAGAATTCTTAAGTTACTCCTTTGGGCTCTGTCCTAAGTAGAACTTCTGCTCTTCATGGAGTAGTTTGGTGTAAAATGCTCTTAGATGAACATTTTTTGTAATGATGTTTTTGTATCCTAGTCTGAATGCAGATACATAGGCCTTTTTCCAAAGTTACTTTAAGACTTTCTTTAGATGTCAGAACCAACCAGCCAAGTGAAAAGTTTTGGTCAGCCAGTTCCTACTTTGCTCAGTTTGGATTGAGCATAAGTAGGAGGATGAAAGGACCTATTTTGTCGTATTGGAAAGATCTCTGAACAAGTGAGTTGTCACCCAGGGCTGGAGTTGGAGGGGTGGTGTGTGTCCTATATGAATGTGTGTGTTCAGGTACTCTAGTGCTTTGCCCTATATCACCTTTACACATGTGGTGTTTGTGTTGATGGTTACATGCTAGATGTGGAAGGATAAAGGTTTTCTAAGTAGGTCACGTTTAATTTTTATTTAAAAAATTAGATGATAAATTCATGTAGTCAAAAAATCAAAATGACATGAAAAGCTATGTATTAAAAGATCTTACTTGGGATTTCCCATAGCCCCATGTACCCTATTCCCACTCCACACGTACCATTTGTCAGTCTTTTATTCCTATATCTTTGCATTGTTTTGTGATTTTTTTAATTGTTATAAAAAAAAAATATACACACACAAAACGTGGTTGCTATGAGTCAGAATTGACTCAGTGTTGAGTTTGGATATATATAAAACAACATTTGCCAATTCAACATTTTTCAGGTGTACAGCTTAGCAATATCAATTACAGTAATCATATTTTACAGCCATCATTTATTGTTGATGGAGGGATAAAGTTTATCCTAAATAAATCCCCTTGGTTGTGTTTGGGGATGTTGGAAATTAATTGACATTGTAGCTGGTGAAAACCTTAACTCTAGTCTCTTAGATACTGTATTTGAAAAATGTATCAGGTCTTGGATGGCCAAATTGACTTTTTGCAGTACAGATTATGGATTTTGTTGACATAAAGTATGTGAAATTTGTAAAACTTCACTTAGTCAAATTTGTTTTATTATTTTTAAAATTTGAATCCACTATGGACTTAGTATTTTGACTTACTGCAACTTCTCAGAACAAGGTTTGCTTCCCCTCCCACCGCCCCCCCAAAGAAAGCCTTTGCCATAGTCATACCTTTGTAGCAACAGTAGGATATCTTAACTAGTGATACTATTGTTCTGCTTTTGAATAATAATCAAAGCAGTTTAACATAGCTCAGGGTTTACAATATTCTCATCAGTTGGCCATCTAAACTAAGTTATTACCAGAAGGTTAATACAATTCAGGGTGTCCGTATTTAATTTTTTGAACACTTTAAGACATCAGTTTAAACTATGATGTGCTTTAAAAGTCTTGGTTTTTTTTTCTTTTTTTAACTTGGACTATTCTCATGTAGCTACTAAAGACATTTTAAAATGTCAGATCTTATACCTGCTGTGTCAGCACTTACACACGTATATGTTTCAGAAGAAACAGAAAAGTGGTTTCTGAGGAAATGGAGCAAGAAAGACTATATTTTTGTACAGATAACATGCACGCACATAGAATGTGTTGAGAGGGTTGTGTGGTTTCTGAAAAACCATGTACGCGCGTTATTTGCGTAAAAATCTGGCAGTTATTCAGGTGTGTTAAAGGTTGACATACAGCTCCCTTGAGTTTTTCAGGTAGTTTTGCATTGGAAAAAACTTAGTGTTTGAAGTATCTAACTATGTTCTTATTTATTTCTTTTAAAAGAAAACGAGGATCAGAAAATGGTAGTGATGTAACTTTATGGTTGAGAAATTATGTGCATGGAAGCCAGGAAATTCAGTAATGTTCCCCTAAGCAACTGTAACTCAGACATACTGCATGAGGTTTTTATGGTTTAATATATGAGACCGTATAGAGTAATAGGAAATGCTACATCTAGTATGTATAAGAGAGAAGAATTATGGTTTTTGTGAGAGTCATAATTTTGACTATCCAAATTTCAGATGTGTGTAAATTTTCAATAATAATGTAGCATTAATGTATATTTGTATTTGAAATAAATAGCCATTGGTACATCTAGAGAGTTCTCTGGATTGTAGAGTTGGCATCATTGACTGTTTATGGTTATTGAAGTATTCAAAGAGAGATTTTCAGTTCAGGAGCATAAAGTATAAAGCATGTAGTGAAACTGAGACTTAGTCTTTCATTCTGGAATATTTGATAATCAGCAGTAAGTTAGCAATGTTCATTTTTGCATGGAGTAAAGGAAAGGCTTAGTTTTAACATGTCTTCTTAAAAATATTGAATGGTTTATCCTTTAGGAATTTTCTTTGGACTATCTTCATTTTTAGTATGTCAATTAATCATTCTGGTTAAAATAATACAAAAATGAAGATAGTCCATTCTCCCCCCACCCCCCCAAAAAAAAGATTTTCCAAAACCTGTTTTGCCTGAGACCTTCATGAGTTCCTTTTTTAAAAAACAAAACAAAACAAAAACCCCACCATATAACAGCTTTGACCTCAAGTAGATAATATTTGTTTTAATGTTCTGTGTGAGTAACCTAGGGCAAAAGAGCTATGTAATGAGAATTTCCTTGGTGTATATTAAACTTTTTTTTTTTTTTTTTTTCCAGCCAAATCAAATAGAAAGCTTACTTTTCTATACTTAGCAAATGATGTCATTCAAAATAGTAAAAGGAAAGGACCGGAATTCACTAGAGAATTTGAATCTGTCCTTGTGGACGCTTTCTCTCATGTTGCCAGGTATGTTGTCTCTCTCTCCTTCTTCCTTTTTTTAATGTAATACCTTTTTTCCTTTTTTGTTCTTTATGTTTCTGTGATAGCGTTTGTAAATTGAAAACTGTGTACTTTAAAGAAAGTGTTGCAGAGGCCTCTAGAAGTTATCTCAGTCGTGGAAACACTTTGTTGCATTAAGGAGATTCAGCCAACCACTTGAATTACATCTTTTCCCCCAGATATATTCATTTATGATATGGCTTCTTGAATATGGTGTTTTCCTTGGTTTAGCTGAGTTGTCTCATTAGCTTATGATTTAAAAAAAAAAAAATGGCTAAATAGCTAAGTAGTGCAAGTGAGCCTTTCAATAATAAAGCCTTAATGGCTTATGCTTTCGTTTTTACTTATTTCCTTCTGGATGTCTGGATATCTAGTTCACTAAAATTAGTAGTCATTACTGTATCTGCAAGGATAGTGATTATTAGTGTGCTCTGGCTGTATTAAATCGTTTTACTACTGTATTTTGTGGCAGAGAGGACTGGAGCATAGGGCATAGCTACAGCTGATATCATAGAAAGCATAAATGATGAAAAGTTTTAGAAATCATTGTTACTCATTTACTGTTTTCTGTAGATACAAGTTAGGTAGCCAGGAGAAGCAAAGAAAATGGCTATTTTTCAGCAGAACATGACTAAGTAAACATAAAAGATGAATAGACGGAAGTTCAGAAAGATGAAAAGGAGACTAGTGGGTTAAATAAAAATTGTTCTAAGGTCTAAAGTATAAGTGAAAGACCTTAAATATGAAAATAAACCCATCGTTCCATGAAGGAATTGACAATTTGAAGGAATAAAACCAGAAATCCAAATGAGAGAAATGAAATACACCTTTCTGGAGATGGAAAAAAGATTTTTAACTTGCTTATCAGCAACATAGCTGGCTCCTTAATTTAAGGGACATGCGTGCTGAAGAGGCAGAATGTATCATTAGTTTGTACAAAATATGGAATCGTCCTAACAGTAAATTTAGAACAGACTATGAGACTAGCTGTTTGAAATTGGAGAGTTAGGCGTTTTCTAGTTTTGATCAGATTCACTTCACACTTTTCTTTGACATTAAATGTAGCTCTGCCTCAATTACTGTCTAAGTGACCTTGACTGTGTTGGTTAACTTTGGAGTGCGTGTTTCCTAATTGGTTAAAAGAGGTGAGGGGTGCACCACCTACTTTAGAGTTGTGATGCAAAGACAATGTTTGAACTAAAAAAAATCGCCATAGAGTCAGTTCTGACACAGTGACCTTGTAGGAGACAATAAACTGCCTAAGGGTTTCTAAGGCTGTAAATAATTTTGGAAGCAGACTGCCACATCTTTCTCTGCAGAGAAGCTAGTGGGTTCAGATCACTGGCCTTTTGGTTAGCAGCCCAGCAGTTAGTCACTGTGCCACCAGGGCTCCTTTATGTGTTTGAAAGTACTTACTAACATTTGTAATGTGCTCATTTATTGGAATGTACTGGATTTTAAACTCCTGTATCCCAACTACCTAATGAAGTGTCTTACAAAGCTGCTGGATTATGTAGCTTTAGGGGTTTCATTTGTGTAACTCCTTGTGAATCGTGTCCTAGGAGCTGGGGAACATTATGGTCTGCCTAGCCACAGTGCAAGCATTCAATAAATATTTGTTGAATAAGTTAATTTAAGGTTCTAGAGAATAGGCTGAAATAATTTCTTATAGGGCCAGTAAACATAGCCTTGTGTTTAAAATATGATCAATAATCTTAATTGGTCTCAATCCAACAAAGGGTAAGTAGAAAGAGGTGAGAAAAGGAGAGTGGACAATACTAGGATTAAAAATTCCTTTTCTGCTTGGTGTAATATCTTAAAACCCTGTCCAAGAGGCACTGTAAAATGCCTTGGCAGAGTCCATGACATTGTGAGGAAAATAAGCCTGGTTTTTCTTAATGAAAATAACAACAAAAAAAAAATCCCAGTTTTTGTTTGCATTCTTCTGGTTCTTTTATAGGAGCCTTGGTAGTGCAGTGGTTAAGTGCTCAACTGCTAACCAGAAAGTCAGTGGTTTGAACCCACCAAGTGGCTCCGTGGGAGAGAAGACCTGGCAAGCTGCTTCCATACAGATTATAGCCTAAGTGACACTATAGGACAGTTCTGTTCTGTCACATTGGGTTGCTATGAGTTAGAATTGACTTGATGGCACATATTCCTTTAAGGTGCTGTTTGGGTATTGTGTTCAGGACAGCCCATGTCTTTAAGCCCCCTCCCTGAACAGAAAGTCCAGCAATTTCACTTCAATGACTGATGCATTTCATTAGCAGTAAAAGTAGCTTAATAAATGCTTTCTGTGTAGTGTTTCTCTGTCCAGTTGATGATCAAAAGTTGAAGTATTAATACTTACTAAAATTCATTGGAAGTATCTCTGTGGTAACCTCTCACTTGTCCTGTGCCCCCTTCCCTCCCACAAACAACCTCTCATGTCAAAGAATGCTACCAAGCTCAGAGGGGAGATATAATTTGAGTAATATTTAATTAACCAGACTAAGCTTTGTTGTTGTTGTTGTTGTTATGTGCCGTTGAGTTGGCCCCGACTCATAGCGACCCCTCCTTGGGTTTCTGAGGCAGTATCACTACGGAAGTAGGATTGCCCAACCTTCCTTCCGAGGAGTGGCTGGTGGGTTTGAACCACCAGCCTTCTGGTTAGCAGTCAAGTGCTTTAGCCACTATGCTACCAGAGCTCCTAGACTAAGCTTAGTTTCCATGTAAATGCTGCCTTGTTTACTCCTCTGTTTGGAAATAGTTGTGCATTTCATTTTTCTTTCAGCATATTTTGAGTGGCTTTCATGTGCCAAGTACTGATCCAGACACTAGGGGAATAGCAATGAACAAAGAAGACAAAGACAAATAAATGAACAAGATACTTTCAGAGAGTGATAATATGGATATAATAAAATAGAATGATGTTCTAGAGTAGGTGGGGTGGGGGTCTCTTCTATGTAGGTATGATCAAGGAAGGCCTCACTAAAGAAATGACATTTGAGGTAATCATATGACATAGGAGAAGCTATTAAGAGCAGGCTAAGGCAGAAATAATCTTGGCATATTAAGAGAAACAATAAAGACTAGTGTAGTTAAAACATAGTGCACAAAGGGGAACATAGTATTACATGGTGTATCGGACAGGTACATAGGTACACATAAATTCCTGTAAGCCTTAGGAGTTAGGATTTTATTATGGGATGGATTTTAAGCAGAGAAATTATGTATTCTAATATATGTAAAAGATCCTTCTGACTCGATGTGGAGAACAGATCATAAAGGCCAAGAAAGGTGGCAGGCAGGCAGATGAGTTTGGAGGGTATCATTGTAGGACATGCTAGAGATTGGCTAGGATTCAAAAACAACAAGATGATGATAACTTCCATTTATTGAATGCTTGCTTCATGGATGAATTTGGGGTATTTTTTTTACCCACATAAAACTGATAGGATTTGTGGGAGTTAAGTAGAGGTTGGTGATGAGGGGAAAGAGAAATCAAAGATGATTTCTAGGTTTTGACATGAGTGTAAGTGGAGTGTGATGGTGCCGCTTATTTAGATGAAGAATGGAGTAAAGATTCAGTAGAGGAAATTACGAGTTTGTTTTGGCCATGCTGATTTTGAGTTGGCTGTTAAATATCTAGAAGTCCTGGGTGGCACACATGGTTAAGCACTTGTCAGGTAACCAGGAGTTGGCAGCTTCAACCTACTCAGAGGTGCACAGCTTTGAAAACCCAGCAGAGTGCAGTTCTGTTCTGCACACATGGGCTTGCCATGAGTCAGAATCCATTTGATGCCAACTGGTGTGGGTTTTTTCTTTGTTTTTTTGTTAGATACCCCAAAGGGAGATGCCTGATAAGCAGATGGATAAAATCATTAAGCTCAATAGACAATTAGTTTATGGAGACATAAATTTGGGAGTTAACACCATATACATGATACTTATTTAGTTTTGTGCTAGGGGTTGTCAAGACTACTGGGTTTGGTGGCTCATGAGGACTCTCAAAACTTAGATGTAGTTTTATTCATGGCTATGACTTATTACAGTGAAAGGATTTGAAGCAAAATCAGCAAAGGGGAAGTGCACATGGGGTCAAGTACAGAGGAAAGCAAGCATAAGCTTCCAAGAGTTTTCTGCCAATTAAGTCACAGAAAATGCGCTCTATTTTTCTAATGTCAAATTGAGATAACATGTCTGAAGCGTTGTCTACCAAGAAAATCCATTAGGAAACTCTGTTCATGGTTTTGAGAGCTCTGGTAGCATAGTGCCTAAGGCACTTGACTGCTAACCAGAAGGCTGGCGGTTCAAACCCACCAGCCACTCCTCGGAAGGAAGATGGGGTAATCTACTTGTAGTGATACTGCCTCGGAAACCCAAGGAGGGGTCGCTATGAGTCGGGTCTGACTCAATGGCACATAACAACAACAACAGTCTAGCACTTAGTAAAATTCCAGATTCCCAGAAGGAAAGCAGATATTTAGCATAAGCCATATTATTTACACAAATAGTTTAGGCACTCTTACCAGTTAAGGAGTGCTGAGAACACTCTTAAAAGTTCTCAGATGCCAGCCAAGGGCCATTCTTGTGAGCAGGCCTAAGGCTAGTGGTCTCATACATGTTGTGTTAACTCTGTTCTGTTCAATTTCAGACATTCCTGTTTCAACTTTGTGTGAGGTACTATTGGAAGTCCTGGGGATACTAAGAATTCCTGCCCTTATTTGGCCTACCATAGGTGTCCTTGTGTGTGTGTGTGTGTGTGTGTGTGAGAGAGAGAGAGAGAGAGAGAGAAAGATACCAGTCAGAAACACACAAATTACAGTAGATGTTCCAGGGCAGTTCTGTAGAACTACAGGGAAAGATGAGGCGACCAGGCTGGCTTGGCAAGGCTCTAGGTAACACTCCAAGTGGCAGCTGTACATGTGTGTGTATGTGTGTGTGTGTGTGTGAGAGAGAGAGAGAGAGAGAGAGAGAAGTTTCTCATCTGTTACAGTCAATTTAATTAATGGGAATTAAAATACATGTGAAATTGTATTCAACGTAATACTATTTGTATACTTCCTTATCTTCCGTCAGTTTTTCCATAGTCTGATAGCAGATTTTTGGGCCTTTTCCCTTACAGATACTTCAGTTTAGTACCCTGAAAAGGGAACTCCTTCTGCTATAAAACTACATTATTGCTTGAGTTGTATCTGATTCCAAGTGGTTAAGTTTAGTGACTTCCAGTTGACTAGAGCTACTTAATTCAAAACCTTATCAGCAAAAAAAGATTTCATGAATGTTTCATCTGTAACTTTGAAACTTATCTAGCAAAATTTTGAATTACTCTTGTGCCCAAGGAAATAGTCTGTCCTGATTAGTTACATGTACTAATTAAACTAGAACCCGCCTTTTGGCTTTAGCCTTTAGTGATGAAAGCCTTTGGACAACGATTTGTGATTATAACAAGTATAAAGTTTAGATTCCACCGTATAATCAGGTAGCTGGAGTTGTACTCAAAGTCAGTCTTCGTCTTAATTGAGCCCCAGATATCTCCAGGAGTGGTGAGTAATGGTTTGTCCCCAGCCCTACTTTTAAAACTTAATCTTTGATGAGAATAAGTTCTCAATATTGGTTTCCTTTTCTTTTAAGTAAACAGAGATTCTGCAGAGGACAGATTTTATGTTAAAGGTACCAACCAGTTAATTAAGTTCTGATTTCTTGTGGTTTCGTTATACTAGTTATAACGACTATCTTTCTAAACCATAAATTTGATCACATCAAGGACTTCGGATTACCTATAGGATTGAGGCCCTGTGCTTAATATGGCATTTAGGGTCTTTGGTAATCTGATTCTATTCTCTCTCTCCATATTCTCCTGTTTTCTTATATATCACATATACTTCAGCCACCTGAATTACTTGCAACCTTTCTTTCCTCTTAGTCTTGTCTCATTTTGTGGGTATAGGCATTCAAAGGAGAGGCGATAGCATAAGCAAACACATGTGGGTGTGAGAGAGCAAGTTCTGAGTAGAAAATTACCGATGGTGTAGTGCTGCTAGAATGTGAAAGCCTAGGAAGAAGAGTGGAGAAAGGAGATGAGGCTGTGGAAGTCGGACCCTAGAGGTCAGGACTTCAGCTTTACTCTTTGTGTTCCAAGTACAGTCATCCACAAACCCCTTTATTGAATGAGCAGGTAAGTGGTGTAGTGAGATGACTGTTGAAAGTTAAGTGACTGGATCACCTGCTGAAACCTATGTAAGACATTTTAGAAAAGATTATAACTTGATAGATATTTATTGTGCTTGTTCTAAGGCATATATATAAGCAGTGAGGGAAAAGACAAATCCCTAACTTTGTGGAAATTACATTCAGGTGAAAGGAGAATATAAAATAACAAGCTATAGGCAGATCAGGAGATAAATTATGGAGAAAAGTTAAAGGGGTAGGGATTATAATTTTAGAGAGATATTAGAGAAGGACTCACCAAGAAGGTGCTATGTGAGTCAAAAATTGGCCCAGTCTAACGACAGCAGACCTGAAGGGAGGAGAGGGAATGAGCAGTCCAGAGTCTGGGGAAATAGTGTTTCAGACGAAGTGAACTGGAACATGTAAAGGCCCTGGGGCAGGAGGGCCAGTGTAGCTGGTGTGTGTGTGTTGGCGGGGGTAGAGTGGGTAGGAGATGAGGCCAGAGACATAACAGGCTGTGCTGAGAGAGGCTGTCTAGCCTTTGTAAGTACTTTCACTTTTACTCTGGGAGAACGGGAATAACCAGTCGAAGTTTTGAACAAGGGACTGACATGATCTGACTAAAGAGCAGCTAGAATTATGTTTCTGAAATTTGAGAGTAGAATGTAGAAGGGCCAGGGGGGAAGCAGGGGTGCCAATGATGCACTAATCCAGGCGAGAGATGGTAGTGGCCCAGGCCAGGTTGATAGCAGAGGAAGGGTGAGTTTATTCATCTCTGCATATATTTTCAAGGTGGATTAAAAGTGTTTTATCACAAATACTAAATAATTCTATCCTATCTTTTAGCTGTATAAGCTATCAGTGGAAAAGCCCCTCCCCCATTTATCCTTAACCCTCACCTCTGATTGCAGAAGGGACAAATAGTTGAACAAAAGAAGAATTAATTTCTGTCTAATTCAGTGAAATTTGCCACTGATTGTTCATAAGTGATACAGTTGGGCTAGGCTAGGCTTAAACTTCATCTCACCTCGGAGTATTAACTCAAGCTTTGGGAACGTTCTGTCAGGATTGGAGGGGACTAACATTCCCATCTCAGTTGATTTTGGCATAGTTTCTTCTTGAAGTAACTATTAAAAATATTTGATAAATAGAATGGTGTAGGGGTAGCCCTTCTTGTTGAAAGTCACTAATGATAAGGTCATTGACACTGCATTTAAACTGCCATCCAAGCAGCCTCAGAAAACAGCAGTTTGGTGGATAGTGAATTTTCCCTCTGAAAGTCTTCCGCTGCTCTTCTTGTATCTGAGGTTTTATGGTAGGCAGCTGGTTCAGCTGAGGGCTGGATAGAGTCATCTCATTGAGAAATACTGTTTGAAGAATGTTCTATGTCAATTTAAAAAAAAAAAAAAGGCTACCTTCCTTCAGATATAAATCACAAAGGACTGTTTTAGCCTCAGTGGTTAAAAAGTTATCTTAGATACCCTTGTGTAAGTATGGACTATAGATTTAGTCCAGAATATAGTAAGTATGAAGTAGTTAATTCAGAGTTAAGGTCAGTCTTGGCATGTATGTGTGTATAACTGTTTATACATGTAGGGGTGTTGGTGTGTTAGGATTGATGAATTGTGGTCATTTTATTCCCCATTTTAAACATTTGTGTTTATTGCAATCATTTTTTTCTGTTTTTAAAAGTTTTGGCTCACTTTTTTGAAAAAGTAAGCTATAAGCTATCACAATTGGTATCATTGATTTTTGATAAATTCTCTGTAAAAATCGTCCATTGGCTTTTTGCCCTGTTTGCTTTATCTTTCAAAGGGGAAAAAAAGATTACACCTGTAATATAATCTCTCTCCCTTCCCTACCCACCACAGGAAGAATGTGATTTTTGGTCAAGCCGGGCATCCAAGTATCACAATATGTGCCTTACTCTTCCTCCTGTTTTTAAATATGTAAATCATTTAGTCAGGTGTTGATTTTTTTTTTCCCCCCTAAGTAGGTCTACCCTAATGGAAAAAAAAAAAAAAAAAAAAACCTGAAGCTTATATATATCTTTTCATCTTTTCTGGGCAGAGAGGCAGATGAAGGCTGTAAAAAACCTTTAGAAAGATTGCTGAACATCTGGCAAGAAAGAAGTGTGTATGGCGGCGAGTTCATACAGCAACTGAAGCTGTCTATGGAGGACTCCAAGAGCCCTCCCCCCAAAGGTAGAAACATCACCACATGTTTACAGCTCTTGGTCTTTACCTACTTTCGAATCAAATATGAAAAGCTGCATTGGGGGTTGCTGTGAACCACCAGCGATTATATGATTCTTCCGAGAGATGATCATGAATGATGGTGAGAATTTATGTGGTGCTCGCAGTGTGCAAGCCTGGTTCTAGTACTCATGCTGTTCATCATCTCGTGCTCTGACTTTTGCTCTGTACCCTCCTTGTCTCTCTTCTGCCTTTCAGGGACTTACCTTGGCCAAGGGAAAGGAATAACAAAATTGTTTCCAGTTGTGGAGAACTGGGAAGTACCCTGGACTCAGATTTATCCTATCCCTGCCATTAATTACTATGAGATCTTGAATGAGGCCCTTAGCCCTTCCAGAACTTGGCTGCATTATAATGATGTGGATTTTGGAACATACTTTTATGGCTGTTAGTTTGCTGCCTACAATCGATTTTGGTCTTTACTGAAACCAGGACATTCTCAGAAAATATATACATGTATGTGTGTGAATGTGAATTTTACCGAGTCTTTCATAAGCGCTTATGTTATTGTCTCTTCAAAAATATGTAAGATGATCAAATGCTACTTGGTTGTTTGATTTTGGGCTATTTGTGAGTTAATTCAAATTGGCATGATGTGTTTATAGCCCCTGATCTGATCGGATCGCATACATACTCATTTACCTGGAGGATCATACTTTTTCGGACCTTTTATAATCTGAGGTAGTCTACTTTTCCAGATTCTTCTCCTAACATGCACACCATATTCTTTGGCCACATTGACTCACCTGCAGTTTCCCCTCAGGATGCTCTTTGGTACCCCTTCCTTTTCATCCGCTATTATGTCTGCCTGAAATGGCCTCCTGCCCCTTTCCCTCTATGGTGAACTTACTCTTTAAGAATGCTGCTCTCCTGGTGTAACCACTGAGACTATGGCCCCTAGCTGCCCTTCAGGTCTGGAATTGAACCCACAACTGGGGTTTCCAGCCAAACAAAGTACAGGCATGTGAGTTAAACATTTACCTCAAGTAGACACACGCCCTGGAGAGAACAATCATGGGAGAAGGAAGGGCTGCTTATGCACAGGGAGATAGCTCAGGGTGCAGAAGAGTATGAAGGGATGGACACTGGGAGGAGGTAACTATGGGGAGGAAGTGGGAGGGGAGCTGCTGCATTGTAAATTTTGGTCAATGACATGAGACAAAGTATATGTGAACTGCTGTGTGAAAAGTGAATTTACTCTGTAAATCTTCACCCAAATCCTAATAAAAAAAAAAAAAAGAATGCTGCTCTCATCTTGACATCTCCTAGCTCATGTGGGCACATGTAGCCCTTCCTTCCTTGTTCCCCTGGTACTTCCTACCTGTCTCTGGATAGAACTTAACCATGATTGGTGTAAGTAATAGCATTATCCATTCAGCAGTCCTTTATCCTGTGCCTTGCATGAGCTCTTCCAGGTCTAAGATTATGTGCATTTTAAGATGCATTTTAAGTTTCCCGTGAAACTAAAGGTTTGAGGCTTTCTAAGGGTGACATTCAGAAGGAAAATGGGGCAATCTACTTCTGTAGTGATACTGCCTCGGAAACCCAAGGAGGGGTCGCTATGAGTCAGGTCTGATTCGATGGCACATAACAACATCAGCAACAACAAGGGTGATTTAAATGCTTTCAGACTACAGGTTGTTATTTTAAACTTGATGGAAGACAATTTTGGGGTCATTCTGGTTGTGGCTTCTGAAAAGATATTTTCTGCTTTGGATTCTGGAAGTGTTTGTATTGTGTCCTTTAAAGTGCTTCTGTTTGGTGTTGGGGAATTGCCCAGTATTCTTTTCTCTACTCTGCCCTAGAGTTCATTGGTAAGTAGTACTTTTTTTTTTTTTTTCCTTCCCACCTTTGGGCAAGTAAGAGATCTCTATAAAAAGGATATTTAAAGCTAAATGTTGAATTTTAATTCAGTAAGCATTTGCTGCACATGTGTTTTGAGTAAATAGCTAGATGCATAGTACCTAAGGCATTTGACTGCTAACCAGAAAGCTGGAGGTTCAATCCCCCAGCCACTCCTGGGAAGGAAAATTGGACAATCTGCTTCCATAGTAATACCACCTTAGAAACCCAGGGAGGGGTTGCTATGAGTCGGATCCAACTCAGCGGCAGTGAGATTGGTTTGGTTTTGGTAGATGCTGTGGGAGGTGTCGGGGAGAGGAGTGGGAAGTAGTTCTGTACTCAGGGAGCAGCCAGACAAAGTGAGGAATTTGTGGCGGTGGTAGATTGGAAAATAACTCCATTGGGTTGAGTCTAGACGTTAACAATAACATAGGCAGTATTTCTCTATCTGGAAGATAAACTAATCTGAAGATAATTTCTCTTTCTCTGTGAAGATGAAAACAAATACCAAAAAGTTGCAGTGTACCAGCTAACTGCTCTGTTTTCACACTATCTTCTTTGGACCTGAGTTATCAGAATATTTCACACAATCCTTTCAAAATGTTGATGAGTTCTCCAGAAGTTTATTTCCCAATTTAAATAGTCCTTTTATAGTCCAGCTTTGATTCAAGGGTAATTCTTTGTCTTCACACAACTTTTAGAATTTACTTTTGGAATAAAAATTTTCCTGTGGAACTTTCGCAGTTCTTATAATATTGGAGAATGAATAAGTTTAGGAATTCTGTTTTAGTAATACCGCCTCGAAAACCTAAGGAGGGGTCGCTGTGAGTCAGATCCACTCGATGGCAGTGCGTTTGGTTTTTTGGTTTCTCGTATCTTAAGTTAGAGCCCCTGGGTGATGTAAACACTTAAGGGGCTTGGCTGCTAACTGAAGGTTGGAGGTTTGAGTCCACCCAGAGATGCCTTGGAAGAGACACCTGATGATCCACTTCCCAAAAAGTCAGCCATTGAAAGTCCTTACAGAGCACACTTATACTCTGACACACACAGGATCGCTATGAATTGGAATTGACTTGATGGCAACTGTTTTTTATTTCTTAAGTTATATACCTGTCTCCCCAGGTGTGAGACCCAGGTATTCTAAAGTTCTCTTTCTATTCTTGGGAACAGAGGCTGTTGTCTGACTGAATAGAGCTTTATTATTTGCTTGAGACCCACATGAATCACATAGTATGTAGTTTTAGAAGTATTTAGGAAGGAAAGGGTACAAAGGAACTAGGACTGAGTACCTGTTATCTGTGAGCCTCCCATGTTAATTCTTTTTAGGTCTTACAGTTACTCTCAGAATTTGGCATTATTTTCATATTTCAAATGAGAATGCTAAGACCCCAAAGGAATAGTAATTTGGTTCAAGGAGATATCACTGATAAGTGGGGAATTCAAACCCAGATCAATCTAACTTTAAAGCTTTTGTTCTTCACAGGGTACTTTTTCCTAAAAGCACATAGATTCCGTAGATTTGAATTATAACCGGAATTCATGAATAGGTCACTCAAGTTTCCTATTCAGAACATGAGTCTGCAATCAGACTTCCAAGCTGTGTGACCTTGGGGATGGCATTTGACCTTTCTGAACTTCAGATCCCTCCCTGTACAATATGGCTATTAATAGTAACACCTCCTAAGTTGTTTTGGGGGTTACTTGAGACAGTGCAGGTAGGATCTTGTTAGCAGGACCATGAGGTGACTGTTTTTTCCCCTCCCACTTCTCATATCTCAATATTCTGAGTTTCTAATTGTGAATCAGTGGCAAAAGTAGGAAGCTTTGAGTATTTTCAGTCACCAGATTTTGTGCAGGTCCAGGGAGCATAGAGGCTAAAGAGCACGAACTCCAGCTCCCTGGGTCCAAGTCTGGACTGGGCCGCTCAGTCCAGTGAGGTAATAGAAGAAGGTGCTTTTAGAACTGTGCCTTTTATTTGTAAGTCCACAAGTAAAATCTCATGTGCTTTTAAAATTTTTTCTATTGTGTTCCAGAGAGGGAGCATAAAGGGAGATGTTGCAAATTGTCCTTACTCATTATTTTCTCGTTGTAAAAGTTATATGAGATCTGTGGGATTTTTTCTTTTTCCAGTTATTATTTAATCCCAGAAAATTTGAGGTGAATCCTTTTGAAGATCCAGCTTTACTAGTAGATGACTTAGTTTCATAATGTGATTTGGGAGCCTTTAGACGATTTTTTTTTTTTTTTTTTGCCTTAAAATTAGTTATATACTCTGCCATAGTGTCTGAACTTCTACCATAATCACAGCTCTAAGAAGCATACCATAAATTCTTAGGTAACCTGGATTACTTGAAGGTTAGCTGAATCCAAGCCTCCTTAAGACACAGGGACAGGTTGGAGGAGAGAATACAAAGTGTGCAGTATGAGGACAGGGGAACACTGGCCACCTACAGTGTTTGCCCTGTAAACAAGGTGGTAGAGTGAGTGAAAAACAGGGAGTGTTAAATACCATTGGCAGGAGTCAAGTTGGGAGGGGAAGGATGCCTTACCTTAAATTCAGAACGGGACTGATAGCTTTCCTAGGTTAGTTTTAATGGCTATCTGACTTGATTAAGAATATTAGGCATTCTGACTGCTAACTTTACAGATTCGTCAAGGTTGAGTTCGCAGAGGGCTCTCTCCTCAAAGGGAAGCAGTGGTAGTAATTTCTGGGACAGCACTGGCGCTTTCTAAGCTCCATGCTTCCTCCGCTTTGAGAGGTTTCACACTTAAGTCTTTTGATACTTTCCTGGGTACATTTAGGGATGTGAAGGAACAAACATTATTTCTATCAGAGAGGAAAGGCCTGTGTCTGCCAGGAGCCCAGCAGCCATACAAAGTAGCAAGTGCCAGGTACTTAAAAAGAGAGTCTAAATTGGACAGTGAAAAAGAAGGAAGAAAAATGGATGCATTCTAATTAAGGTGTTGGTGAAAACACGACTAACTTTAGCAGGGACTGCCAAAAGAACAAACAGATCAATCTTAAAAGAAATATAACCAGAATGCTCTTTAGACACAAAGATGGTATGACACGGGCTTGCTTATTTTGAATACATCTTCAGAAAAGACCAAAGGCTGCCATGTTTGGTAAAGTAGGCAGTCAAAGAACATGAGATAGATTGACACAGTAGCTACCACAGTGGACTCCGAGGCGCTAGTGATTGTGCAGATGGCGCAGGGCCAGGCAGTGTTTCACTGTATTATGGATAAGGCCGTCAGGAGTTGGAGTTGACTGGACAGCATTTAACAACAGGTGCTGTGGGGGTTCAGAGGGAGAGCATGACGACTGAGAGAAGAGGGCTCAAGATGACACATTACCATACAAATAGCCTTTCCGCTTAGGAGGAGATTCTAAGACCATTAGATGCCATTCTAGGTTTTTGAAAAGAGACCATCAGAACACGGCTTTAGGAAGATTAATAATTGAGTGTTGCCTAAGTGGGAAAAGGAGCAGCTAGCGGCAGGGAGATCAGTTGGGACATTGGTCTGAACTAGGCACAATCAAAAGTAGAATGTTGATCAGAGACTGGGAAAGAGCAGAGAGAGGACGTATGGAAGAGATCCCTCAGAGGTGCAGGATCTGCGAAAAGATGGGACTTGGGGAGAGATTCTAGTGGTCTCCAAGGTTTTGTACTTGGAATATAGGGCAAGTGAAAGCGTTGACACCTAAAATAGGTAGCTCAGGGAAGGAGGCACCCCATGGGGTAATTGATGAATAATTCATTTCCAGAAATCTTAGGTTTATAGCATGAGTGGGTCTTCCTGGTGGAAATGGGAGAGAACTAGAAAAACTGAATGATAATGATTAATACCTCCAGTTACACTCACTTTCATTAGTATGGCAAAGGACTGTACTGTTCCTTTCATCAGTTTGATTTCAGTCTTGAGTAGCAGCATGAAGCAGTAAAAAGAGTTCTGGATTAGGAGGCAGAAGACTTTAGCTGTAGGACCCAGACTTAAAGAGGTCCTTTACTTTGTACAAATCACATCTTGTGGGCCTTGATACGTTAGTATGAAAATTTGAAGGGGAAGGGGAAGCAAAGACATGGGCTCACCTAAGGCCTTCCAGTGCCAAAACTCAGTGATCCAAAGTGTTTGGTAGGAAGTGATGTGTGGTTTTTACATATAATTTTTCCTCTGTGGGACTTTGAGAATGGAAGGATTTGAACTTTTGACTGTTTCCAGCTTCTTTAGCAAACAGTGATTATTGAGCACACTTCTAGGTGCTTAGAAGCAAACAAAATAATATAATTTTTTTTTGCTCTTGGGGTACTTAGATTCCAGTGGCCACTCCTCACACAGGAACACTTTGTGTTGCAGTAGCTAGATGTCTGTGTGGGTCGTACCACATACCACACACTAATTAGGTACCTGCTGTGTGCAAGGTACTGTTAGATATTTCATATGTAAGTTATATCTTAATAGATTTTTCATTGAAAAAAATAACAGCAGTCTTTACTTTGCATGGTAGATGGGACTGTAAAAATAACCATGGAAGTAGAAACCATGCAAAAAGATCTTGAGCAGCAGGAAAAATTACCGTTGTTCTGTGATGTTTTCATAAATTTTTTGTCAAAGCATTAAAACCTACCTAAATGTGTAGGAAAACAGGAAAGATAGTAAAACTATTATTTACTGTGCTATCATTTAAAGTATAAAGATTGAGACTGAAAACGTGTTTCATTACCTTGTAGCAAACCTGTCAGTAGTGTTTTAAATAGCATTTATTTTCTCCCTCTCGTCGTATAATTTATGATATAGAGGAGGCGTCTTTTCTATGCCTTGGCAAGTTATTGTACACCTTTCTAAGTTTGACTCAACTTCCAACATGTTATCCATTTTACCGTCAATGTCGTGAAATAGCTCAGAGAGTTCCTTTAAGCATAGAGTTTATGCTGGCATCATTCCTTGGGATGTTGTCATCCTTTTCATCACAACCGTTTTCTTCATGTATGTTGATGAGTTTACATTTGTTAAATTCCTGTCTACAGACTAGAGTCTCTAGGGTGATGGCATGTCAGCATTTCCACAGCCAGCTATAACTCCGTTTATGTTCAGTTCAAATTCACACCCAGCATTAGTTTAGTTTTTGTTTCTTTGCTGCATTTCCTCTTGGCTGGACAATTCCCTCTTTCAATTATTCATGTTTGTCAAATGTAGTGTGGGTTTTATCATTGGGAGACAAGGAAGCAACACAGCTAAACACTTGGCTGTCTTTACATAAACTGAATAACAGATGTGCAGTGATCAGTCACTGACAGACTTTGAAAGAAGTGACATGATTGATCACTGATCATGATGTATGTTTATTATTTATGTAATAATTTGTGAACTGAAGAGTTGCAGCGAAGTTTGTACTTTTTGAAATGCTCTGTGTTAGTATGCCATGGTAACTAAAATTTGAACTGTATTATGTGTCATTGAACTAAAGTGTAAACCATGGTAACAAATTCATGTATATCAGAATCAGCAAAAACAAGGATTGCTTGCATTGTTTATGTTGATGGTTCTTTTTGTAATATAGCAGACAAAAACATTAAGAAAACATAAAACCTGTGGTATTGACGTGGTTTTGATTTCAAGCATTGTTTGATAAGTTAATGCTTGGTTCCAGAGGAAGATGTTGAAGGAAAATGTGTATATTATTCTATTAATAACTGATGGTGTGTTTGAAGGCAGGCGCATGGTATCCCAGGAGGGTAATTGTGTGGTAATAAGTAATTTGAGTTTAGTGAAAAGTGCATAGCGTTGAGAGTCATACCCTTCTATGGGTTTTTTGGCCTCTGTCGGCCTTTGTTTTTTTACCTGTGAAATGGAGATAATACATCTTAGAATCGTTCAGAGGATTAAATGTAAATAAACTGTTGCAGTGCCCGGCACATGCTAGGTGTCCAATAGTTTCTTTACTTTCCAAGCCAGAAATTTGTCATTTAGATTGATTTCCCATAGTTATCTGGCATTTATTTTGTATTGTCTAATTTGATGCAAAAGGAATGATTTGGAATTTAAAAGCATACAGTACACATGATAAAGAATGTAACCTGTCAGCCCCAAAAGTGGTTAATTTTAAAATGGCAGTTTTAAGTAATTTCTCTCAATAGTATCAATCATATTTCTTAGTAATGGTTATTTTTAATTTTAAGATTAAAATTAAACAAATTAGGTTTGTTTTATTTAAAAAGGGATAGTTTGAAAGATGTTTGTGTTTAGAATTTTTGACATGGTTTTATTTATGGGCTTCTCTCTTCCATTTGTTTTCTACAGTCATTGGGAAGTGTATCACATCACATTTTTATGCACTATGTTCTCTCTGAACCCTTGTACATTTAGGTTTGCTTCATTATATTATCTGATGGCTTTTTTTTTTTTATCATTTTACTTCTCCTGTTAACTTTTTGTTTTTAAGATAAGAATTTTTGATTAAATGTGATCGTTTTGGAAAGTTTCACTTTTAGATGCTTGTTTCAATAGTATTTTTCCAAGGGAGATCAAAGCCTATTTGACTCTTTTCAATAGTGTGGGGAGCTACAACCAACTTTAAGTAACTAGCATAAAAGGTTAATAATGTTAAATCATTTCTGAAAATGTACACTCTTTCTGCCTTTTTTTTTTTTTTTAACATGTGGCCCATTGTGCATGACATTTGACCCTATCTGCAAGATTTATCACTCTAATATTCACTTTTTTCTTCTAGTAACAGAAGAGAAGAAGTCTCTGAAGCGAACTTTTCAGCAGATACAAGAGGAAGAGGATGACGACTATCCTGGAAGTTACTCCCCCCAGGATCCTTCTGCAGGACCCCTCTTGGTATGTCTTCACCACCTCCAGAGAGTAGGGCAGAGTGATTTAGTGAAATGATTTCTGATTGGAAGATGACGGCCACAAGGTGGCACCAGTAGGCAGTAGTCTGGAATCATCAGGTGTTCGGACGCTGGGTGCAAGTCCACCAGTGAAGCTTGCCAGAAAGCAGGCTTGCCTTTGTGTTCGAGTGCCTTGATTCTGAGATGGGTTCTGTATGTTTGTTAAATACTTAAGACTTTTATTTTTCCCTCTCCCAGAAAAATTTTTTTTTTTTTTTTAATTTTTTTTTAGAAATTAAAAATGTTTTTTAAAAATAGAATTTTGTGAGAAGATTAGATAATGTTACAGGTACATTCAGAAGACCTCTACTATGGCCTGCCTTTAGTAGCAGGGTTATTTTATAAGTAAACAACTTGCTGGTTTCTAAGGACAGTCTGTGTGGCAATAGCAAATGTGCTACACTGTAACCTATTTAAATATTAAAACAGGGAGCTGGCATTTACTGCGTTTTTAACCATGTGTTGGCCTTGCTGAGCCCTTCATATAAGTTAACTTAGGAGCTTTATGCAGTTAGTTCATTTTATTATTTACTTAATTACAGTCAAAGAAAATGACGATCAGGGAGACAGACTGAGTAATTTGCCCACTGTCTTAATGTGAGTCTAGGTCCATCTAACTTCAGAGCCCATCCTCTTCCCTAAAAGTCTTAGACACCTAGTGCTGCTGTAATGGAAATACTGCTGGTGGATGACTTTAACAAACACATTTATTCTCTCATTGTTGAGGAGGCTGGAAGTCCAAATTCAGGGCCCCAGCTGTAGGGGGAGGCTTGCTTTCTGTGAGCTCTGGGGGAAGATCCTTACCTCCTTGTAACATCTGGGGCCTGATGTCCCTTGGAGATCTCCACATGTCTTGGCATCAGTCCTCCCCTGGGTCTAAGAGAGTATCAGTGCTGGGACCCTGTGTCCCAAGGACACATGCTGTTAACTGTCTCTTCTTTCTTGGTGATACTGAGGTCACTCCTTGTCTGCTTGCTTATCTCTCCTCTTAAGATAAAGGGAACTCAGTCCATCTCTCAGAGAGGCTCCCTTTATATTGGATCAGGCCATGACCTGAGTAAGTTTGTTGTATCCCACCCTAATGCCCTTCAAACTGATTAGTTGGTGACATCAGATCACATCATGGGGGGTAATTGCATCATTACGTAACTGCCAAACCACTAAGAATCATGGCCTAGCCAAGTTGAGACATATTTTGGGGGACACAATTCAGTCCAGACACTGGATCACACTGCCTCCTATCATTTTGCCTAGAACTCCTTACTTTATTACATACTAACATGTTTTTTGCTATGTCAAAATGTTGAATTAGGCTGGTGATTAAATGATAGCGCTTACCTTACCCTCACCTGCTGCCATTGAGTTGATTCCAACTCATAGCAACCCTATAGGACAGAGTAGAACTGCCCCATAGAGTTTCCAAGGCTTTGATCTTTATGGAAGCAGACTGCCACATCTTTTTTCCACAGGGCGGCTGTCGGAGTTGAACCATGACTTTTTGGTTAGCAGATGAGTGCTTAACCACTGCACCACCAAGTTTCCTTCATGATAGCACTGTCAGCCCATATATCCTTGCATTTAACAAATATAACACACATAGCCTTAGTAACCGACTGTCTGGATAATCTGACAACCACCTACAGAGTCATTTACCACCTCTGTCATTGTGGACTGGCTGGCTTGTCAGCATCTGTGTTTTCTGGCAATTTTAATAAATCTCTTCTTGGATATACACAGAATATGCATTCCTTGTTTGCTCTTCTCATTTTTTTGCTTCTTTATTTGTAATAAGTGAGTTTGACACATTTTAATTTTGGCAGAGGCTGCCAAAATTGAAAATGTTCTTTTTCTAAAGCAAACCCAAGAAAGAATTGAAGTAAGTGGTATACATTTCATTTAATCAGTCGAAACCCAATTGATGAACATCTTGTGTATACCTTTGTACTAGAGACTGTTCTGTACTGGAAATCATGTAGCGTTTGAAACTGAGCTCCACTTAATCCAGACTCCATCTTCTTAAGTTGCTGAAGACATGGTCTTTTAAATTTTTTTGTTTTGTTTTTAAGGGATTATGTAGAATTTCATTCTTGGCCTGCCGTGGACGTAGAAAAGTTAATTTTGAACATTTCCTTAGACTTCGTATCATTGACTTCAATATAAGCTCTGGGATGAGAACAATTTTTTTAGATGTCAGGAAAGACAGGTTTTAGAATTTGTCTCCACCTCATTTAACTGCAACTAATTTTCTTCAAGCCTCCATATCTCTTAATGGATAGTGTTGTTTGTGTTTTCATTGTACAGACTGAGGAACTAATCAAAGCTTTGCAGGATCTGGAAAATGCCGCATCAGGGGATGCTACTGTCCGACAGAAAATTGCTTCTCTGCCCCAGGAAGTGCAAGATGTTTCTCTATTGGAAAAAATAACAGGTGAGAAGGTAGATTCTGGACCAAAGATGAGGAAAGGAAAAATCTCTATCACATCAAATCCTAGGACATGCTTGTGTCTGCAGGCATAGGCTCTCAGTGTGGTATTGGGTGCTCTGCCCCATTGGGATTTGCACACATAACTCATGCTGAAGAATGAAGCAGCTGGAATCGCCAAAGCTTGCATAGTGATTCTAGGGGTGGTTGCAAAAAAGGCACTGTCAGTAAGGCCTCTTAAAGACAGTACAGATTGTGTACAGGGAGGCATTAACTCATGACCCTCTTTTACTAAAAGCCGGAAGTTTGTGATATGATGTTAGGTGATTTACATAGGCAGTCCCTGGGTTATGAGCATCCAACTTACAGAAAACTCCTACTTGCCCTGTAATGTTATGTATATTTGCCTTCACTTTGAAAGAGTTGATTTAACCCCTAGTCACAAAAAATTCGTAATCACAATCACCAACTTACTACACATTCTCAAAGACACAGTTCGGAATGGCTCTCGTTTGTAACCCAGGGACTGCTTGTACAGTGTGTGCTGCCAAACACCATAGATGATGGTGCCTTCTCTGCCAAGAACGCCAGGTGTGTATTGTTAGCATGTCGTTTTTTGCTCTAATGGTGGTTAAAGAAGGGAGGGGCAGTTGGCATTAGTCCCGCTTTATGCATGGGAAATTGAAAGGAAGGAATGACCTGTGAACTAGTATTTGTAGATGACACTTTGTACTAAGTGCTTCTACTCTTCATGATCTTTGGAGATTGCTGATTTTATACTCCCATGTTGCATAGGAGGAAATTGGGGTTTTGAGAAGTTAGGTGTCTTACCTAGGATCACACAAATAGTGGATCTGGAGCTTCCAACCTAGGCTGCAGACTGTTTTTTCCCTTATAAAAGGCTGGAACTTTATTTTCTACTCTCTTCCAAGGTGCACTGTTTTCTCCCCTCCAATCCTTCGACATGGCCACTTCTCTGACTTCCTCCATATCCGTCTTTTTGAGAGAGCGAATAATGCCTCTGGATTTCTCAGTCAGCCAAGCCATTGTTTGTTCAAAGGTTCTGGCATATTCTTTTACTCTGTACATTGGGACAGAAACTGTTAACCTTCCCCCAGAAATATTTGCAATTGTGCCTGTGTGATTTGTATATTGTCTCTATTTTTTTGGGTCCATTTGTACTTAGACAAAGAGGCAGCTGAGCGTCTTTCAAAAACGGTGGATGAAGCATGTCTGTTACTAGCAGAGTACAACGGGCGCCTGGCGGCAGAGCTGGAGGACCGGCGCCAGCTGGCTCGGATGTTGGTGGAGTACACCCAGAACCAGAAAGATGTTTTGTCAGAAAAGGAGAAAAAACTAGAAGTGAGTATTTTGCAAGGCAGACCCAGATTTCCCTAATTTTCCTTCCTATAGCCCACATGAAGAGGTTTTTTAATAATGCCTTCAGTCAAAGTTAATGTTTTTATGTGACCAGGAAAGAACATATCGGGTTGCAGGAAACAAACAGTGAACTCTTAATCATACCATTTAAGATGTTAATGTCACTTTAGTTTGAATTAAAGCAAACCAAAGACTATTTATTTGGTGGTATTTGGGGTATGCTTAAAATGTCTTTCTTTGGGTCATATTGAAGTTTATTTCTGACTTGTATCCATGTTAAGGCCAGTTAAGTAGGCAGCCCCCAAGCTCTGTCTGTTGTTGTTATGTGCCGTCAAGTCGGCCCTGACTCATAGCGACCCCTCCTTGGGTTGCTGAGGCAGTATCACTATGGAAGTAGATTGCCCAACCTTCCTTCCGAGGAGTGGCTGTGGGTTTGAACTGCCAGCCTTCTGGTTAGCAGTCAAGTGCCTTAGGCACTGTGCTACCAGAGTTCTAAAACTCCACAGGAATGATTATGGAGCCCAGTTGTCAAACTCTTGAGTAGAAACTCTCTTCTACCCTGAGGGATAACATTAGTCTGAGTGCCCTTGGGAGGGGCTTTGGAAATAGTTCCCGCTGTGCACTTGTTTGGCTTCTTAATTAAGTCCGTTGTGGTTTAACCTCAGTGTTTCATCCCTTGGGATAACAGCCAGCAGTGTGGACATTTGGGACACCTTGCTTAGCCCAAGCTGCTAGGCTGCCTTTTCAGGAGTGTCTTCATTTTTCTAAAAGACAAGAGTTGGCCACCAATGGTTTTATGAAGGGAGGACAGTTGTGAGTTGGAGAATCAGTCACATTTCATTGCAAGAAAAACCTTTTAATTCTCACTTGGAGTAATTAAGGGAAAGGAATAGTTTCCCCCTCTGCACTTAGGAAACACAGGTTGTCTGGCCCAGAGGGAAGGAAAATTGAGCTTCTGGCCCTTGTGACTGAGATTAGTTTGTTTGTACTTCACACAGTCATGTGATTTGAGGTGGAAAGTAAGGGATGGGCACTGTTTCATCTTATCTTTATCTGCAATGATCATGAGAGCTGTGATGTGTAGTGGTAGCAGGAACTTCATATTGCTAGCAATTGAATGTGGAAGAAAGATGGAAACGGCTGTATAAAGAGTATGGCTAGGATTTAGAAATCAGCACTGACCAGAAATTCTGAAGGGAGTTTCACAGGCAGCACCAGACGGTCATTTATCTGAAATGCGCATCTTTCACTGAAGAAGCATTTTCAGCACTGCGCCCCGGGACTAATAAGAGAGTGTAATTAATGATTCTGGTTGTAAGTCACCATGCCATCTGTTGAACTGCCCCTTGGCGACACATTAAGGGCTTTCTCTGATCTGTCAGACATTGATTATCATGAGCAGCTGTTGTTGGGTGGAACGTGGCAAGCTACCATAGAGGACGGAGTCTTTGAGAAGGAGATTGGGTTGGTAGGATCGCTTAACTCTTTGCTCCGTGTCCCCTCCTCCCCAGTGACATTTTGTGCATTTCCTGAGGAGTGATTCTGTTGTCTGTGGAACCAGTTGTCTCCTGGACACCACAGAAGGTCATGAAGGAAGAGAAAGAAATCTGATTTGGGTCTGTTCTGTAGCTTTCCGTACCCATCTGGGTGTTGGCATTCCATGGCTTCCAAAGTAGAACATGAAGGTCCCACTGTTGAAAAGTACATATTCTGGATTAAAGGTGCTCCTTCCCAATTCACATTTGTCAGCCATTTGAACAAATGGATTCATTATAAAAATGGAGCTAAATTTGCTGCATTTTAAGAAAGGAAATGACTGAATACAAGAGAACATGTTGAAAGGTAGCTTTATCCATACTTGCTGAAAATGTGACCACTCTCCTTCCAGAATCTAAGGTTGTCTCTCACATCCCCTAATAGACTGATCTTACTCCATCATACGGTGATGGTAGAACTTGCTAAGTATATGCCATAGGAAAGATGCATTTAATACTATGAACTTCAGAGACAGGCAAAGTTTTTTTTTTTCTTTCTGCTTAAAAGGTCACAGAATTGGGCTGACAAGAGGTGTCATTTTGAATTACATTATTTTTGCCAAATCCTCTAAAAGTCTGTTGTTGATGGGGGCAGTACATAAGGTATATCTATCTACCTTTATAACATTGTTTTTTTAATGCAACCAGTCCTTGTTTTAAAACTGCGATTTAGAATACTGATTAAATCTTTTTCATTGTCTTCAGTGTATGTTGTTGTTGTTAGGTGCTGTTGAGTCAGCTACAACACAGCGACCCTGTGTACAACAGAACGAAACACTGCCTGATCCTACACCATCTTTATAATCTTTGCTATACTTGAGTCCATTGTTGCAGCCATTGGGTCAGTCTGTCTCATTGAGGGTCTTCCCCTTTTTTGCTGACCCTTCTTTACCAAGCACGATGTACTTCTCCAGGGACTGGTCCCTTCTGACAACATGACCAAAATACATGCGATGAAGTCTGCCCATCCTCCCTTCTAAGGAGTGTTCTGGCTGTATTTCTTCCAACAAAGATTTGTTTCTTCTTCTAGCTGTCCGTGGTATTTTCAATATTCTTTGCCAACACCACAATTCAATCGCATCAATTCTTGTATGGTCTTATTCACTGGCCAGCTTTCACATGCATATGAGTCAATTGAAAGTACCATGGCTTAGGTCAGGTTTACATTAGTCTTCAAAGTGACATCTTTGTTCTTGAACATTTCAAAAAGGCCTTTTGTGGCAGATTTTCCCAGTGTGATACTACATATGATGTCTTGACTGCTGCTTTTGTGGCCGTTGATTGTGGATCCAAGTAAAATGAAATCCCTGACAGTTTTGGTCTTTTCTCCACTTACGATATTGCTTATTGTTCCAATTATGAGAATTTTTGTTTTCTTTATGTTGCGGTACAATCCATACCAAAAGCTGTAGTCTTTGATCTTTCATCAGTAAGTGCTTCAAGTCTTCTTCACTTTCAGCAAGCAGGGTTGTGATACCTGCATATTGCAGGCTGTTAAGGAGTCTTCCTCCAATCCTGATGCCAAGTTCTTCTTCATATAATCCAGCTTCTCAGATTATTTGCTTAGCATACAGACTAAGTATGGTGAAAGGATACAGCCCTAATGCACACTTTTCCTGATTCTAAACCACACAGTATCCCATTGTTCTGTTCAAATGACTGCCTCTTGATTCGCGTATGGGTTCCTCATGAGTGCAATTAAGTGTTGTGGAATTTATCTTCACAATGTTATCCATAATTTATTATGGGTAACACAGTCAAATGCCTTTCCATAGTCAATAAAACACAGGTAAACATCTTTCTGGCATTTTTCACTTTCAGCCAAGATCTCTCTGACATCAGCAATGATATCCCTCATTCCACATCCTTTTCTAAATCTGGCTTGAATTTCTGGCAGTTCCCTGTCAATGTACTGCTGAAATCATTTTTGAATTATTTTTAGCAAAATTTTACCTGTATGTGATATGATATTACTCCATAATTTCCACATTCTGTTGCATCATCTTTCCTTGGAATGGGAACAGATACGGATCACTTCTAGTCAGTTGACCAGGTAGCTGTTTTCCATATTTCTTGGCATAAATGAATGAGTACTTCCTTCCAGCCTTGCATCCGTTTATTGAAACATCTCAGTGGGTATTCTGTCAATTCCTGAAGCCATGTTTTTCACCAGTTCCTTCAGTGCAGATTAGACTTACTCCTTCAGTACTGTTGGTGTTTAATCATATACTACCTCCTGAAATGGTTGAACATCGACCAGTTCTTATTGATACAGTGATTATGTGGTTTTTTTTTTTTTTTTTCATTTTCTTTTGAAGCTTGCTATATCATTCAATATTGTACCCATAGAATCTTCGGTATTGCAACTGGTGACTTGAATTTTTTCTTCAGTTCTTTAAGCTTGAGAAATGCCGAGCATGTTCTTCCCTTTTGGTTTTCTAACTCCATATCATTGCTCATTTCATTGTAATACTTTATCTTCCCTAGCTGCTCTTTGAAATCTTCTGTTAAACTCTTTTATTTCATCATGTCTTCATTTGATTAGCATCACTGTTTAAATACATAGACTTCTTACTCTTTGGAATTGTATTTATTTGATTAGTACTCTTTCCTTCTGAGAGTTCTAGTAGTAGTATTTTAATTTGTTAATGTTTAGTGTTGTTTTTGTTGTTGTTGAGTTTATATCTTCCTCTGTCTGTATAGACTGCATACCTTTTTTTTCTCTTCTACTTGAAGATTTTATGTTAGATTTCTTAGTGACTCCTGAGCTTTGAGAGAGAGGGTGTGTGACGATTCAGACCCTAGAATGAGTCAGACTTCACGTAGAGAGAGGAGTTATGGATCCCAGAAAGAGATTGTTTCTCCCTCAAGGAAATCATACTCTGGCATAAACAGCACAGATCAATACAAAATCAAAGCAAATAATTACACATAATGTAGATTAAGGAAAGCCCACACACTTCCTGGCAGACAGAAAAGCCTTTGGTGAAAGGAAATAGCAATTGAAGAAGAGAAATGTGTTTGTAAATAGGCAACAGCCAGCCCAGAGCAGACAGGTGTGTAAAGAAAGACAGAGGGAGTAGGAGGGAGGTGCTGGGGACCACAAATGGAGAATTAGGTGCAGTCCTCTCTGAGGAGCTGCCTGTTCATGAAATCAGCAAAACCTGTGCTTGTCAGGAGGCCCGCAGAGAGACGTGCAACATGTCTCCCTCTTCTCAGAGGGCTCACGCTGTAGTGAGGGAGAAACACCAGCAAACAAGGAGTGAGAAGTGTTACAGGAAGGGGCACATCCAAAATCATTGTGTCTTAGTTGAAGTAGACCAAGAAAAAAACAAATGCTACATTAATTTGATTAGGTATTTATTAAAATGGTAAGAGAATTACCAAATGCATGGGCAATTTCTGAGCACCGTGATGCCTCAAGCAGGTCTCCCAAAGTCAGCTGGA